GATACAAAGAGACTGGGTCAATTAATGATCGTCATAGGACTGGGCGCAATAAAATTTCAAATGACCGTGATGTTCGCTCGTTAGTGAGATTAATGAAAGAAAACAGACAAGCATCATCTACAGACTTGTCTACGAAATGGACACTGTCAAATGGTCTGAAAGCAAGCCCTAGAACTGTGCAAAGGGTCCTTCACAATTTAAATTATTTATGGCGTGCTGCTGCAAAAAAACCACGCCTAAATAAAAAACAAAAATTTGCCAGGAAAGAGTGGTGCAAACTACATAAAAATTGGTCAACAGATCAGTGGAGCCGTGTGGTCTTTAGTAATGAAATGAACATTGAGGTAGACAACAGAAAAAGTTGCGTTATGTTGCGTAGACTTCCAAGCGAACGGTTCGATGAATCATGCATTTTGAAACAAACAAAACAAGGCAGTGGTTCAATAGGCATTTGGGCCTGTATGAGTGCCTGTGGAGTTGGCGTTTTTCATTTATTCGATGGTAGACTCAACAAACAAAGGTACATCGAAATTTTGGAAAACTCACTTATTCCTAGCATTGATTTATGGCAGTTGCAAGATGGATTTATTTTCCAGCAAGACAATGCGCCGTGTCATAAAGCGCATTTTGTTAGCGATTGGTTCAATTCTAATAAAATTCAAGTGCTTCCATGGCCTGCCAATAGTCCAGACTTGAATCCAATAGAGAATTTATGGTCGTGGTTTGATCACAAGCTTGGTAAAGAACAACTTTACAATTTGGAAGATTTGAAATCTTCTATCTCTTATCATTTGAAAAATGTGCCTGATGAAGTAATCAAAACTTTAATGAATTCAATGCCAGAACGAGTACAAGAGTGCTTGAAAACAAATGGAGGAACAACACGTTTCTAATTTATTTTTTTATTGCTTTTTGAAATTTTTTTGAAACTGGTCTTAAAATTTTGTCCAATTTTTTTTTCCATTTATATTTTTTACTAGTCAGTTTTTTAATTTTTTAACATTATTTTGTAAAAAAATTATAAATTCTTTTATAATAAATATAAAATACAATAAAAATTCTTTCTAAAAAAGTTTTTCTTTTTTTGATACCTTTTTCCAAAATAAAATTATACTAAGGTTAAAAATAAAATTTGAAAAAAAAAAAAGTGGTCTTTAATTTTTGGCCACCGCTGTATATATATATGTATATATATTATATATATATATATATATATATATATATATATATATATATATATATATATATATATATATATATATATATATACATATATATATATATATATATATATATATATATATATATATATATATATATATATATATATATATATGTATATATATATATATATATGTATATATATATATATATATATATATATATATATATATATATATATATATATATATATATGTATATATATATATAAAACGATTAAAAATGATCTATTATATATATATATATATATATATATATATATATATATATATATTATATATATATATATATATATATATATATATATATATATATATATATATATATAAAACAATCAAAAATGATCTAGAATATATATATTCAGACAACTGCAGTCAACACTCTATGTACTGACACTTGTTTCTCTTCAAAGTTTTTTTAGCAGTTGCCAAAGGAATATGCTGTATTGTATTATAAGTTTTACATTTAATTCACTTTACTTCATTGGGTGTTGCCTGGTTGTTACTTTATTGAGTGTTGGCTCCAGTAAGAGGATGCAATGCCTTTTAACTGTAACAATCCATCATGAACAACATCACTGTTGTTTTTTCATTTGGTGTATATCAATATAGTTTATATAGATATTAGAGATTAGTGTTAGCCTTTTTGATTTTACTTTTTGATTTTTTACCATTTGATTTTCTCAAAATTTCCTCTTATTACTTTTTATTTTGAATTAAAATTAAAGAATTAAAGAATTACTTTTTGAATTCATTTAGATGATGGATCTTTGCCAAGTGCTGTGTTTGTTACAAAAGGTAAAAAATTTAAAACTAAAGAAAATCTAGTTTAAAATTGTTTTTTTTTTTTAAAATTTAATATTATAAACAAGATGTTATTCGGAGCTTTTATTTAGTTTTTTTGTAAATCAAAATAAATGTTATTTATGTAATCAAAATTCAAATAAATAAATATTATAACAAATGTGTTCTTCATTTAAATAAAAATTTTTATTATTATTATAAAATTAGAATTATTAAAATTATTATTATAAAAAGCATCATAAAAACTAAGCGTATTTGCTAAAAAAAAAAAAATAAATAAACTTTGCAACAACCTCAGGTGTCTCAATGATAATTTCTGCATTACCTCAACTTCCATTTTTTTAAGCAATAACTAATTCTAGATTTTAAGTGGTTAACAGCAGTCTAGCAATTTAAGTACACTTCTTGATTATAATATCCAAAAAAGTCCTCAATAAGTCTTCTGGAAAATTTGGTGGGTTAAACTCTTTGGTACTAATGATATCTTTTGTTTGTGTAGCTAATCTGCAACTTATTTAGCATAATGTGATGAGACTTAATCAGTTAAAATAAAATGGTCAAAGAGTGGCCATTATATTTTTGTTGTTTAAGTAGTTTTTAAAATATCAGGATCAAATAATTAATTAATTATTAATTGGATTAGTTTACTTGGGTTATTTGGATTAGTTTACTTGGGTCAATATTCTCATCATAAATTTTGTACAAACATGATTTTAAATTTTGATAAAAAGTTTATCATCATAAAAATCATAAAACTACTTTCCAATTAATATTTATACAAATAATTATAGAAATAATATTTATAGAAATAAATAATATTTATACTTGAAGTTATAATCTATTTAAACAATTTATTTAAACAATATGTTAAAAAAAAAATTAAATTAACTGATGAAAATTAGTGATTGGTGGATGATTAGGTTTCATTTTATCAAAATCAATTTTTATTTAGCATTCGTTGATTTTGAGAATCTTATTTATATTTTTAATAGATATTCTTAATTCTAAAAAAATGCTTCCTCAAAGAAGGGAAACCAATAACATTGTAGCAATGCTGTTAAAGGTTAATTATTGCTGTTAATGTTATAGATGTTGTTGAATTTTTATCTGAAGAGATATTGAAGAAAAACAACTTAATTGCAACATTGACATCAATGGGAAAAGCATACACCATCACTTTTAACTTAAAACCCAATTCGTATTCATCTGGATGGAAAAGTGTTCTTCATTTGACTATTGGAGGAAATAATAGGAAATATGGTGATAGAAGCCCAGGTGTATGGTTTCTAGAAGATGGTTCAGGAAGATTGAACATTTATTCTGCAGTTAATGGAAATGCTAGTTATAATATAGTTTCTGAACCACTCGACCTTAATAAATGGTCAAATATCAAAATATCACAAGTAGGGCTAAATGGAAATTACACATTTCAGGTGTTAATTAATGGAAAAATTATCCATAGCATTGAAAATACCAAGCCACAATCATTTCAAAATGTCAAAGTGTATGCGTCAGATCCATGGTATGATGCACAAAATGGTTCAATTAAAGATCTAAGAATTTTAAATGGAAATGTTGGTAAGTAAATGAATTTCATAAATTAATGATATTCATTATTGTGGATAAGTTTTTTAAAAAGTTTTTTATCAAAGTATTGTGGATAAGTATGCATCAAAGTTTTTTATATATTTATTTAAAAACTTTCGCCGAATGGTCACACACGAGCAGTGAACACCCGAGGGTGTGAAATTGATGATATTCATTATTGTCGATAAGTATGCATCAAAGTTTTTTATATATTTATTAGGTGTTTATCTTGTATATTTTATAAGCTTTTAAAAATTTATTATAAATAACTAATATTATTAAAAAAATACTTTATGTATTATTAGATATTTTTAATATACTTTTTGATGAAATCAACCTAGTTCATTGTTAACAAAATAACTTAATTAAATATAAACACTTTCATTTCAGAACTTATAATTTTTTACTTGAAGCTTACATTTGAGCTTTATGATTAGTTTTAATTTTTAATATAGTTATTAAATTACTGATAATTTTTTTAATGTCAGAGCAACTAATAGAAGATACAGAAACAATACTGGCTCAAAATACCATGGTGGCAGTTATTCCAAAGTTAGACAAGATTTACAAAATATATTTTGATGTGAAACCTAATTCATTTACTGTTGGTTTTCATAATGTTATTCATTTTACTATTGGCTCTGATTCAAGTCAATATGGTGATAGAGTTCCAGGAGTGTGGTTTCATGAAAGTGGTGATGGTAGTCTTCATATTTCTGCCCCTATAAATGGCAATCTTAACAGAGTCTTCAGGACCGATCCTGTTGCTTTTAATGAATGGTCTCACATTGAAATTAGCCAGCTGTTGGAAAATAGTATATATAAATACAGCATTAAGTTGAATGGAGAATTGGTTTTTGCTGAAGAAAATAAAGAGCCAGTATCTTTTGATAATGTTATGGTTTATGCTTCAGATCCATGGTATCCTGCTCAAGATGGCTTCATAAAAGATCTTACTATAGTAAATGGCGAATCAGGTAATAAAGATAAGTATTTTAGTACATGACCAGGAAAGCCCACTTAGGTAAATATGTAATTTATATCTTCAATTGGAGGTTGTGTATAGTGACTGTCAATTTTGTCACTTGACTTCCTGTCAATTATTTGCTCTTTGGCTTAATTTGCACCTCAAACAAATAAAAAAAATTTTATAAAGTATACATATTTTTATAAAATATATTTTTATAAAATATATACATGTTTGTAAAATATGTATATTTTTATAAAATATATATATATATTTATATATTTATAAAATATATATATATATTTATAAAAACATATTTTTATAAAATGTATATATATATATTTTTCAATAAAACTTTATTACATTTTTTTATTTGCATCATTATTTACAAAATATTTTTTTTAGATATTCAATCTATGCCTAATGTGCTGTTTGTTACTAAAGGTAATGTTTGTAAAATTGAAAGAACATTTTTTCAAACTTGTATGCAAGTATAAATGTAATTTATAAAAATTCAAAAAAATATATAAAATATTGAATATATCTAATATTCAATAATTTGAATATCAAATCACAATATTCAAAATATTGAATATTAAATATATTTATTATTTTATATATTTTTTTGAGTTTTAATAAATTACATTCATACTTGCATATATATATATATATATATATATATATATATATATATATATATATATATATATATATATATATATATATATATATATATATATATATATATATATATATAATTTATATATATATAATTTATATATATGTATATATTATGTATATCAGACTTGGTTGGGAAGCATGAGCAATTGCTCTTTATTGGTGACCACGGAAATAATATTTAGTTGCGAAAAGCTGGCCAGGTTTTTTAGTCCTTTAGAGAACATTTTAAAAAGCAAAAAAAAGGCGCAAAAGATTAATTGGACCAATGAGAAACAATTACAAAAAAAAAAATTAGGAAAATAAAATATCTTTTAATCCAAAAAAACTTAAAGCAAAATAAATTACGTTTAGAACAAATATTTCGAAACATTGCTCTTTATAATTTTTTTATAAAATTAAGCAACGTTTTTTATATAAAATAACATCTTATATATTCTTAAAACAATTTATGCTAGAAATCTCAAAACGTAAACATTGTGAATACAATTTCTCAAACATTTCAACCAAATACTCTAGAACTTTATTTCGCTTAGTCAGCGTATTTTTGAACCAATAGAATTAGTTTATTTGTCAATTTGGCGGGTTTTTAGTGTTTGCAAATATTTTTTTTATTATCACGCACCAAGATATGATATTTTTATGTTTCCATGTATGTCTGTAGAACAAAAAATTTTTGTTTCTTAAAACTTAAATGTTCTCAAAATGACTCAAAGAGAGCGATTGCTCCCGCTTCCCGACCAAGTATATATATATAAATAAATAAATATATATATATATATATATATAAATATATATATATATATATATATAAATATATATATATATATATATATATATATATATATATATATATATATATATATATATATATATATATATATATATGTATATATATATATATATATATTTATATTATATATATATATATATATATATATATATATATATATATATATATATATATATATATATATATATATATATATATATATATATATATATATATATATATATATATATTTATATTTACTAGGGTGGTTCAGAATCAGGTAAATTTTTTTGGACTAGAGTGGAAGCTTATAAGAAACCCTTGTTTTATATATAAAAAATTTTTTTTCCAATTTTAAAGAAAGTTTTAGGGTGGCACTTGGCCTCATAGTACTTTTTTTTTTTTTTAACCCTTTTTGATATTTTTCAACCCCATATATTGAATTCAATTTTTTCTCTATATAAATTTCTCACAATGACTAATATAAAAAAAAATTAAGCACTCTAATTTTATTTATTTTTTTCAACGCTGGAAAACTTATATAAAAAAACTTTTTTTGGTGATTGAGATAGATAACTTGCAGACATGGAGCAAACTTCAAACTTGGGTGTGTTTATACTTATATCAAATTAGAATGCTTCAAAAAAATTGGAGTGATTTGAGTCTGGGAACTACAAAAACTCTAAAGCTTGTGCTCCCAAGCCCAAAATATGAGTGCAATAAGTTATCGAGATTTATACAATTGCTATTCTAAAATAAATTTATATTCATTAACATATTTCAAATTTCATCTAATAATAGTTTAGCATTCGACAATTATGACTATTTAAAGTTTCCACCTTCCCTGATGGGGTTAAAAAATGAGGGGGTCAAAAAATTTACATTTTACAACTTTTAAATGCTAAAATATCATTATATGAAATTTGAAATTTGTTGATGACTATAAATTTAGTTTGAAATAACAAAAGTATAAAACTTGGTGACTTATTGCCCTCACATTTGGGGCTGGTAGCACAAGTTTTGGGGTTTTGATAGTTCCCAGGCTCCACTCAATGCGATTTTTTACAGAGTATTCTCATTTAATATAAGTATAAACATACCCAAAATTAAAGATTGCTCTATGGCTGAAATTTATCTTTCTTATTCAAACTTCTGCTACCCCTGTAGTTCTATATTTTTTTTTACTACAAAATCTAGCCAGTTAAAATTATAAATAAGCTATTATCATATATTATATTATTTTCAATTTTAAACTTAGAGATGAATCTCGAGGAAGGTGGATTAGCCCTTCCCTATTAATATACCTTTTTTTCAAGCTGTGGGGGGAGGCGGAGCAAGAAATAAAAAAATTTAACTACTGAAATAGCTCCAAGAAGATTTATATCCATGAACCTCGTCATCTGCCACAGAACTTTCATATCCTATGCAACATTTTAACAATATTAGATTAAGTCATCAATCAAACAATTAACTAATTATTTTTACGCTGTTTTCTTATTTATGATTATTATTTTTAACCTGATTTGGGACAGCAGTTGTCACAAAAAGAAGCCATAAAGAAGCTACTGAGTGTAAAAGATGCCGACAAACATAGCGATATCACGAATCTCTTCTATATTTTCTTCTAATAAATTTGGAATGGTTTCCAATAGTAAATACATTTTAAGGTAATACAATGTTTTTGCCATGCATCTTGCATAATGCAATAGACCTGGAACCTATTATATATTACATCTCTGTAGAACTGTTCAGCCTCAAGGTGTTGTTTATTTATTCAAGTTTCTATTTGAGTTTGAATCCTCATTAATGGAACTGTCTTTTTCAAGATCATTCTTTGACAGATTTTAGGTGTTTAAAAAGCTGATTTTCTGGACCAGGCATTTTACTACCTAGATATATCATATTAAAGTGGGTAATGTCTTTCCAAAATATGGCGTCTACAGGCAAGGAGAAGTAGTGGCCGCCCCAACTTAAACGCCGTTCTTGTTATAACTCCTCGGCTTTCCAATGATGGAAACAGTAGTATCAAAGCTTTATTTTGCGATTGTGAAAATCTCAGTGATTAAAGCTTGGGAACTACCGAAACCCCAAAATTTGTGCCCCTAGCCCTAAATGTGAAGGCAATAAGTTACCAAATTTTATACAATTGTTAGTTCAAACTAAATTTATAGTCATTGACAGATTTCAAATCTCATTTAATAATATTTTAGCATTCAAAAGTTATGACAATGTAAAGTTTTTAACCTACCGTAAACTTTTTTTAAAGTTAAAAAAAAAAAATCTTATATATAAAACAAGAGTTTGCGCACCTTATAAGCTTCCACATATAAATATATAAAATATTGAGGGTTAAGCATGGAGCAGCAATTTTTTCATTCATTATTCTTTGTTGTTTTTTCTTCTTTTTCTAAAGCCATATTAATTTAGATAAAAAAAATTATTAATATAAAAATTGTATTATTTGAAAAATAAGTATATTTATTTTTATACAATTCATAAAGATATCGTTATTATAAAAATCTGTGTATAATCTTTTTGTATTTTTTGACTTCTAGAATTTGTAGAGTTATCATCTAAAGTAAAATTAAAGAAAGACAACCTAATTGCGGTGATATCATCTTTAGAAAAAGCATATTCAATTTCTTTCAAACTAAAACCTAGCTTGTATTCTCAAGGGTTGAAAAGTGTCATTCACTTAACTGTTGGGCATAATCTTGGGTTGTATGGTGAAAGAACCCCTGCTGTATTTTTTCTTCAAGATGGCTCAGGAAAGCTGACCATTGCTTCTGCCATTAGCAACAATCCTAATTATATTTTTAATTCTGATCCTCTTCCCCTCAACGAATGGTCTAGCATTAAAATATCTCAAATTCGACTTAACGGTATTTATACTTTTACAGTATACATCAATGGAAAAATTGTTCATGCAGTGGAAAATACAAAGCCGCAATCATTTCAAAATGTCAAAGTGTACACATCCGATCCATGGTATGATGCTCAGGATGGTTTTATTAAAGATCTCAGAATTGCAAATGGAAATTTTGGTACATACACTTGACTTCAATTTTACATTTTTAATGATTAATAAATAATATAATTTTTTAGTAGTTTTTATACTTTCTTTATCATTATTATTTATTGTAAATATATGTATATATATATATATATATATATATATATATATATATATATATATATATATATATATATGTATATATATATATATATATATATATATATATATATATATATATATATATATATATATATATATATATATATATCAGGCCTTGTTACAAGATTTCGCTGCGTAACAGAAAAGTGCAACGCAAATAAATGTAGCTTTACTCAATAAAGATATTTACATCGTTAAAAGTTTAATTACGTCAGTTACGTTTTTTTAAATACCTCATTGTAAATAAATTTAAAATGACTTTAAAAATTATTGTAAGTCTTTGAAATGAAATAGCTTTAAATTAAACAATGATGTTATTAAAAAAATAATAATAAAGTTTAAATGTTATTTAAAAAAAAATTTCCTTATATTAAAATCTTATACTAATTTAAACTTAATTTTTCTGCTTTAAAACATTTGCTTTATGGTTGTTTTTTTTTTAAATAAGGGGACACTTATTTATGGTTGATTTTCTTAAAAGGATTAAAATTTACTTACAACTAAACACATATTTGGGTTTTCCCCTTAATAAAAAAACGTTTGCACTAACTGATTTTGATGAAAATTGCCACTTTTTGGCTTTGTTTTGTTTTTTTGTTTTTATGTACGGTGAAACCTAATATATTTTTACTCAATTGAAAAAGAAAAATAGTATTTTCGGTTTTAAGATGTTATTATCAGAATTTGTTTTTAACAAATATCATGATAATTTTAAAATTTATGTAATTATAGCACTAGTATTAGTTTTGTTTTTAAAATAAATATAAGTTTATTTAATGATCGCATTACTTTTAATCGGTTTGAATTTTGGTAGAATTATTAAAAAAAATTCTTCTAGATAAAATTTAACAACAAAGGGAAAACCCAAACATAACATTTATAACTCGACTTTTTTGAATTGACGTCATTTATTAAAAAATGAATAATGCGCTTTTGTTAAGCGCATTTTTCATTTTGTTAAGCGCATTTTTCAAACTTAACTGAAATCAAAATAAAGTTATATTTAAGACGAACATTTTAAAGTAACTTGAATTAAATGTATTAAATCTTTTTTTTTACTTTGGAATATTTATCATAAAAAAATTGTAAAACGGAATGTTTTAAAATTTTTAAAAGAATTTTAATACTCTTTTTCAGAGTTCCGATATAAAATTTATGCGCGCTCAGAAATGGAAGTAAAAACGTAAACAAACGTTATTTTAACAGTAATTTGTTTGAGATTTACAAAGCAAAACTAAGGTTTATCAAACAATATTATTAAATCAGTGCCATTAGTCTTATATAACTATTAAAAAAAAGAGCCTGTCTAATCCATTTTAAATGATATATTAAGAAACAAGTGAAAAAAGGTACCTCAAAACATTGATTTTTGGATTTGTAAAAAAATAATTCAATTATCTTATTTTGTACTCTAATGTACTTAATATAGTGTTTAAAGCTAACTTTATGCATAATATATATATATATATATATATATATCTATATATATATATCTCTCTCTCTCTCTCTCTCTCTCTCTATATATATATATATATATATATATATATATATATATATATATATATATATATATATATATATATATATATATATATATATATATATATATATATATATATATATAGTATATATATATAATATATATAGTATATATATATAATATATATAATAAAAAATATATATATATATATATATATATATATAAAGTAATAAATATAATGTATATAATATTATATATATTATATATAGTATATATATATGATATATATAATAAAATATATCTATATAATAATAATAACAATATATATATATATATGTATATGTATATATATATATATATATATATATATATATATATATATATATATATATATATATATATATATATATATATATAGTACAAAAATTATATAGTAACAATAATATAACATATATAGTACAATAATTTCTTTGGCCTTCTAATAACTTGTTCAACCAATATCCTTAAATTAGCAATTTCTTTCTAATTTTTTTTAGTTTTTTATTTTTCATTTTCATTTATCAAGTCATTTAAGCTGCACCTTTCCAACCAGAGGGAACTGTGTGATAGATGTAACATACAGAACAAATTTAGTGTTAATATTAAACCCTTAATCATTATACAAGAGTATTTTAGAATACAATCTAATCATTTGTTACGATTTATAATTTCTTTATCCAAAATTTAACTTCTGTAAGCTTTAGAAATTATTTAAAGAAATTATTGATGAATTCTGAGCTACGGGTACTAATGTTTTTATATTGTTGTAATGTTTCTATTCACTCCTTGTTAGTTTCTGTAAGTCAAAACTTTTAGGTGTTTTCATAATAAACTCTGTTATATCTGAAATTTAGGGTAAGTCTATATAATTTAATTTCTTAAATCTGTTTTGCATTGCCTGTATTATAACGTCTTTACTTGGAATAAAAACCATGTGTTTTAAAAGTGAGCTAGGAGCTTTCAACCATGAAGAAAATATTTGCTAATCCTAAAGATATATTAAACCTGTCAGCAAGATCAATTGTCATTAATCTGAGTATTAACATCATTAAAAATTCATCTTTGCTGCATAACATTTATTTTGGTCCAAGTAGTTAAGGGTTTTTTTAAATTTCAAAAAACAGCAGTAGATGTTTTTTTAATATCACTTTATCTTCTTTTGAATAATGGTGATACTGCACTAACTGATGAAACACATTCACAGATGTAAGGCGAGCATAAAAATCACAAGATCTATCATTTTTAAAATAAATGTTTTTATACAAGTAAATTGTGATAACACAATTTGTTTGGATTATGTTTATATACCAATTTGTTTCATAGTAATAACTGATGTGGTTGAAGTTAATTTTTCAAATAAATCTTTATTTTTTTTAATTTCGTGCTGAAGTTCTTTTTTAAGTTATCAATTTCCTTTTTTAATTCTTGATGCTCTATTATAAAACAATGCTTAACATTAAATTCAACATAGTTGTATTATTTACATTAAATAATATAAGTCTTTGAGCATTGTAGCCTAAGTTAAACAAAAAATATAGATTTTTAAATGATTGTGCTCTGTCATGAAAATTATCTGAACATACTCTCGTTTTATGTTTTGGTAATGGTAAATAATTTACTATGAAGCAATAATGTAGGAGTTGAATGGTTAATTAGTTTTCTCTATATTTCTCTGAGCTGTAGTATAGTGTGTATCGATAATGGATAACAAATGCGTACTAAAATGGTAATTTGCAGTTTCACAAGTTAGACATTTTGTATCATACATAAATCATCTTTCCACATTTCTAGATTGTTATTTTTACAATCGATGAGAGCGCATGTTTTCGATCTCTTGAAACTTCTATATGGTATAGGTTCAGTATTTACATTTTTTTCCATTATAAATCTCTATAACTTAAACCGTTGAAATGATGTTTGTTTACGCTTTTACTTCCATTTCTGCGCGCACATAAATTTATATCGGAACTGTGAAAAGGTGTATTAAATTTAATAAATTTATTTGCTAAAACTATGATTAATAAAAAAATATTTAAATTTAATAAAATAAATTAAAAATATATTTTTTTTAAAAACGGAAAATAGACAAAAGTTTATCTATCTGTTTTTTTATCTAATAAAAAAAATATTCAATCCACAAATGTTTTTTACAACAATTAATTACAGCTTAATGTTTTCTGCAACTGTTCTAAAAGACTGTTTAAATTAACTTATTGAAAAAGGCTATTGCTTAACATAAATATGAAAACGCGTACGTAAAATCGTGAATACGTACATAAAATTCAAATAGTCTAACGCTTCTTAACAAGGCCTGTTACTCCCCTCTTTTTATATGGGACGGGGGAAGGGGCAACAAACTCCCATACAACTTGCTAATTCGCGAAAATGAACATTAAATGTGAATGAATGTTTTTAAACTTATGAAATATAAAACTTTATATTAAATATGATAAAATGTTTAAACTAAAAACAGTTTATTTTCTTAAACTAATTTTTAACAACAACAACAATAAAAATTATTAAACAAACTTTTCTTTAACAAAAAATCTATTAGTTTACAATTGCGGTTAAATGTTTTTACTTAGCGCTTTTTTTTTTCTGAATAAACATCATACAAACGATATCAAAAGATAATTTAGATATTCTAAAAGATTAAAGTTTTTGCGTAACACAAAACTGCTGAACATGTAGGCAAATTGCCTTTTTTGCAGGTAAAATGCGAGCTGCGTAACACTTCTTAACAACGCCTGATATATATATATATGTATATATATATATATATATATATATATATATATATATATATATATATATATATATATATATATATATATATGTATATATATATATATATATATTTATATATATATATATATATATATATATATATATATATACATATATATATATATATATATATATATATATATATATATATATCATATATATATATATATATATATATATATATATATATATATATATATATATATATATATGTATATATATATATATATATATATATATATATAAATATATATGTATATATATATATATATATATATATCAGATCAACATGTCGTTGTTTTAAATCTTTAGTTTCAAATGATAAAATAATGTGTATTTATGATTATTTAAATTTATGATAAAGTAATGTGTATTATTGGCTGTAAACATGGCGGATGAAGTGTTAAGGTGTTTTGGTTAGAATGCCACAGGTGACTTTGTAAAAATAGAGGGAGTAATGACAAAAGTAGTTAACTTGGACACTTAAAAAATTATGCTTCATTTTCGGAAAGATGGGTTAATGAAAAGCTATTAATTTTTTTAAGAGAAAATGACTTGAAGCTTAGATCTAAAACATTTTTTTAATAAGTTATTTGACTGAGTTCAAGAATGATCAAATATTGAATAAAATAATTTTCCTTCCAATCACAAGATTGCTCTTCTATTGAATATTTATGAATGGAATTAAAAGTAATGTCAAAAAATGCCAAATGATGCATTCGATGTGGACAAAAATTATTAATTAGTGGCATAAAATTGACTTTGACAAATTGGATAAGTTGTTAAGTAAAATGCCAATAACTGCCATATGTATGGCAGTTATTGTCGCTAAAAGTGATAAAGTAAATTATAAATTAATCTAATCTGACTTTTATTAATTTTTTTGTAAAGCTATTAAAAAAAAGATAATATAATTCAGGTAGAATTTGCTCACAGTTTCTCTCCCAATAGTGAGTAAAACTATGATATATTATTTGAAAAAGTACGACCATACTTTTTGAGTATAAAATACAACCATTCGACAGTTTTAAAATACAACCATTCGAATAATTATAGCTGGTAGTGTATATACAAGGTTTAGACCATTTTAATTGTAAAAATTAATTACAACAACTCATTACAATAATATTTTATTAGATAATTAATAAAAGCAAAATTTTGGTATTGTATGATTAAAATCTTTAATATTGTATTTTTAAACTCTTAATGTCTGCAAAATATTGCCTGTCTGATAATAGCTTTTGTAGAAAGCAAAATAACATGCGGTACTAATGCGGTAGTGGTGTAATGGTAAAACACTTGCCTCATAAGCCAGAAGTTTTGAGTTCAATTCTTAACATGTTTCTAATAGTACCGGGCTCAACTTGTTTCTCCGAGCAGAGTCCTTGTTTGTCAAGGTTCATGTTTCAGAGATATAGAGTTGAGAGAGGGTTGTAATCACAAAAGTAGCCTCCTTGACTTTAGTGGCCTTCTCAGCTTAAGGGAGGTGAATAATAATAAATAAATAAAATAATAAATAAAATAAATTATTTTATTTAGTATATCAAATAGTACTTGCATAAATCATAGAATGTTAGTTGCACCTTATTTCCTCTCTCTCTCTCTCTCTCTCTCTCTCTCTCTCTCTCTCTCTATATATATATATATATATATATATATATATATATATATATATATATATATATATATATATATATATATATATATATATATATATATATATATATATATATATATATATATATATATATATATATATATATATATATATATATATATATATATATATATATATATATATATATATATATATATATATATATATATGTATATATATATATGTATATATATATATATATATATATATATATATATATATATATATATATATATATATATATATATATATATATATATATATATATATATATATATATATTTGGCTTCCAAAACAAAAGTAACTTCATAGGACAACTATATAATTAAATAGAAAAATAGGTAAAATATACTGTTTTTTTTTTAGTTTTTTGCAAAATCACTCTTATTAATGCAATTATAACAAACCTTCAAAAAATATTTTCCTTAAGCAAAAAAAAACAAGCACATTATTAATTGTGTTTAAAATACCTGCATACCTAATTTTAAAAAATCAATAGACTTCAAAATCTTTAACTACAAAGGCAAAGTCAACATTAAATTAACCACAAAAGAATGTTTTATTTTTAGTAGAATTTTTTGTAGAATAAGCATCTTAAATTAAGTAAAACTTTTTTTTTTTGGAATAAATAATGGTCAGTAATTTAGTAAATGGTCAGTATTGGAATAAATGGTCAATAATTTAATCCTGGAACAGTTTTTACGCAAACTTTTTCTAAGCTTTTATACAAAATCTTTTTTTGCATTTTCATGCAAGTCTAGTAATATGGTTAATGGATAAAACTTAGAAAACGTGAATCTCTGTCATAGCTGCAATATTAATGATCTTTTTAAAGTTCTCAAATTCAAATTTTGATTAGTTGAATTTTTAACATAGTTAAAAACTAATAAAAAATGACAGAAACATTATTTATCTTAATTTTTATCTATTATACAATATTAACAACATTTCACCACGGTTGAAAAATCAACAAAATCATTTTTTTTAAATTACTTGTATTTCATAAAGTATCAGATTTAACCAGGCAAACACAATCATCAATGGACACAATAATCAAAAAAAGTTGTTCACCATAAGATTGGTCTTCACTTTACTGAAAACTTCAAAAAACTTTTTCTCTGAAGATCCCTTTCCTCAAAATAAAAAACATTAAAAAGATATGATAGTATAAAAAAAAAAAAAGCTTCTATAAATCAGAAGCTCTGATAACAAAATTACTTAACTAAACTGTTTAAATTAAATGTCTATTCTACCCAATTTTTTTACTTATATTAATTATTTTAACATAAATAATCTATTATATTAATATCATATCAATCATATTTAGGCCAACCCAAATATGATAGATGTACCAGTATTCTATATGGAGAATAATATTTATGTAGAAGATTTATGAGAGGTAATTTGTGGATGTGAAGAATTAGTAGCAACCTTAGCAGATGTTAACTTTTCTATGGATTAATTCCCATGAGAAATTAATAGTGAATAATAATCCTAGAAGACTAAGATTTAGTAAGTGTTGGTATTAACTGCTATAAGTAAGTGTTTGTAGACTTGGTAAGTGTCGATATAGGAATATCAACAACATTGTGATAATTATTAACATTAATAAATGAGTTTGAGGTAAAGTTCACCAGCCACTACAAGCCTGTTCTAAATGTTCAAAAAGTTTTATATTCCAGACAAAAGGATTTTTTGTCTGGAGTATACACCTGTATCATCAACAGAGCTACTTTATTTGATGGAAGCTGTGAGGAAAAGACTATTGATCTTGATATGTTGAAAGCTTTCAATAAAGTCTGGCATGCTGGTCTTCTCCATAGACTCACGCCATACTATATATCTGGGAAAAACTTCTAGGACACCCTAGAAGTTACTGGAAATAAAGGAGAGTGTTGATCATCAAGGACAAATTTAATACTGTGATTTGAAGGGAATGGTTTAATGATTTTGAAATTTTTTAAAATTGTTAACTAATAAATTAATAAAAATGCAGTCATTGTTTTTAGGTTTTAATAATATTTTAAATGTCAAAATTATTTAGGCTTCCATGGCAACCAAAACATAATTGTAACTTAAAAGCAATTTAAACTTTAACAAATACAGTAAACCAAAAATTTTTGTCAAAGCAAAAATTTTGAAATTTTTTGTTACATTATTTTTACATTATATTTCATATATTTTGTCATACTTTTTTATGGAGTTCTTTTTTAAGACTTTTTTGAATTATGATAAATTAATAGTGATAAACAAATTGTAAATGATTAAACCTACTAATTAAAATTAAGTGAATCAAATTTAATTTTAAATAAATTAATTTTTCTTTGATTAAGTTTTTATATTTCTTTAAGATTGTTTTTTTTTCTTCAGATTTTCAGATTTTCAGAATTTATAATTTTGTTTAAATTTGAATTTTTTTGTGTATTTAAATAAATGTAATTTATTAATGTTTTACACAGTAAAAATGTCAAAACTATACTAATGTAACTTTTTTTTCCCCTCTAATATCAGAGCAACTTATAGAAGACAAAGAAACAAGTTTGGTTGCAAAAAATATGATAGCTGTAATTCCGAAGTTAGACAATTCATATAAAATCAATTTTGACTTAAAGCCAAATTCATTTGAAGCTGGTTGGCATAATGTTATTCATTTTACTATTGGCTCAGATGTGAGTAAATATGGCGATAGGACTCCAGGAGTGTGGTTCCATAACAGTGATGGTAGTCTTTACATTAGTGCCTCATTAAATGGCAACCTTAATCAAGTTTTTCAGACAGCACCAATTATTCTAAATAAGTGGACACATGTTGAAATCAGTCAACAGTTAAAAAATAGTAGTTATATTTACACAATAAAATTGAATGGAGCGGAAGTCTTTTCAGAAGAAAACACAGTAACAAAATCTTTTGATGATGTTATGGTTTATGCATCAGATCCATGGTATCCAGCTCAAGATGGTTTAATAAAAGACCTTACTATTTTAAATGGAAAATCAGGTGAATAAAATGAATAAAAATAAACAATTTTTTAATTTAAAAATTTTTACACTTTTTTATATGTAATTTTTTTGTAGTTTTACTTAATAATTGTTATTACAGCTAAATTAATTACTGATTTTTATGTAGATGGTATTTATGTTACTCATAGTTACATAGATGATGGTGGTTGGTTTCTGATAATTGCGTAGATTAGTTATATAGATGATGGTGGTTGGTTTCTGATAATTGCGTAGATGGTGGTTTTGTTACTGATAGTTATGTAGATGGTGATTTTGTTACTAATAACTTGGATTTTATTACTAATAGCTTTGTTACTGATAGCTTGAATAGCTGGATGTGTTTAGTATCGAAGACCAAGTTGTTTATTAATTGTTAACAATACTGAATTTTAACTTAGTTCTGATATTGGAGTTGTGGTATTTTTTTCTCTTTTTGTACAATGTTATTTTTTTTTTTAGAACTCATTTCTTGCAATATAGAAAGACTAGACCCTAAGTTGCTTTTTTCACAATTGTCTGCCCAAGTTGTCCTGATGTTTGCATTTAGTAAAATTCTTCTTTCTCACTGCTTCTTCTTGATTTCTTGATCAACACCTTTTTAAAATGTAATTGTAACATGAAAGTTTAAAGAAGTTTTATAATATCTAGTTGAGAAACATAGCAAGTAGTTAAGAAAGATATGCAGTTGAAAAATAACTGCATATGTATAACTTACAGTTGAGAAACTGTGGTTGAGCAACATACACTTGGAAAACTGTGGTTGAGCATGTGAAAATAGAATTATAATATGTAATTAAGAAATACTGTAATTAAAATTTGGAATTTGTAAAATGCAATAAACAGATTGAGCAATAAGTAAGATAAATAAAAAATAGATGAGAAATTATAATATAAATATTGTAGAAATTATAATATATAAATATTATAATATATTAGTATTGAATATAAGAAATTATAATATATAAATATTGTATTATGTGATTAAGAGTTTGTGAACTGAATTAACAAATTAAGAAACTGAAAATTCATAAATTCTTAATGCAAATGCAAAATGTTGTCTTGTTGATTGTTTATAAGTTAATCAAATTTAGCATTTTGCATTATTGTGTTTCATGTCAATACAGTATGGTCATTGCGTTAAATGTCAATATGCTATGACCTGAAATTTTATTATTTAATTTAATTGTTTTATTTTTATTGAATGACAGAAGATTTCACTGTCCTGACAATTGGATAATTCAATTCAAGGTGTTTATAATACAGAAACAAACCTTAGGTGTTTAATATATAAAACAGCATACAACTTAGTTTCCATTATTAATTTATATTTTATAATAAATGGAATTTAAATTTTTAATTTTGAAAAATTTAAATTTTTAATTTTGAAAAATTTAAATTTTTAATTTTGAAAAATTTAAATTCCATTATTGTTAAAAAATGTAATAAATAAATAGGAAGCAATAATGAAAATACTTCAAAAGGTTTGAGTATTTGATTGCAACTACATCAATAACAAATGATTTCAGGATGAAAACTTGCAGAGAATTGTTCAATGCAATGACTTGTTATGACTTGATATGACAAATCCTGAAAATGTTTTGAGGATTTAGTTGTGGTAGCAGAAAATGCTACTTCTCACCCTTGTTTGGAAAGTGTGTATAAAAATTCACTAATTTAGTTATTACATTTAAGACCTTACCTAATTGTTACATTAGGCCCTACAGTTTAATGTATCAATGTGATAGGGTCAAACTATATATACACCAGAATATCCAAGTTGCTATTTAACTGAATATTGCAGTGATTTTTAATTGTATTGCTAAAATCTAATTTAAAATTTAGTTAAATTTTTATTTATTATTTACTTTGTGTTCTTCAGTTTAAAATTTTTTTAAAATTATAAGATTATAATTAATTAATTAAATTAATAAAAAATTATAATTAATTAAATTAATTCGCCTGTTAATTATGATCTGTTTAAAAGAATAAGATAATAATAAATATTGATTGAACTTATAAGAAGTAACAGTTCCAATTGAGACATGCAGACACATGGTCAAATATTTTTGGTATTCAATTTTGTTTAATTAAAGTTGTTATTTAATTATATGCTGTTCAAGTGCTGAAATCAAGTTGACATTAAACCTTTAAAATGGTCTAATGTTGCTCAGCACAATATTGTTTTCAATAGGCTATTCACATTATCCACATATATCACATTATATTATTGACATTTTTTCTAAAATTTACTGTTGTTTCTTAAATTAGAGAAGGGTATTGGTGTTGGGCTTTTCTGTAGTGAGGTACATTTTATTCCAATAAAAAATGATATGATTTAGGCTACAGGCGATGATAAAGATAGCAAATATGCATCTCTGATGAGCAATGCTAGCCATTTTTTATGAGGCTCTCAAAAACATCATTGGTAGATATATTGTGGCACTAAGGATAGAGTTTCATCTAATTTTAATTAAATCTTATAACACCGTGATTTTTGTTATCTTTCTTCCTCTCCCACTTGGTAGTATAGGTATTCTGGGCCTGCATGAACTCTAAAGGTGTCATTGTTACTAACTATACAATGGAAGGCTTGATTCTCAAAGATATTTAGACATATTGGATAACTGTTTAATGCCTTCTAATGATATTTTTCGAAAAGACATGGAAATTATTTTCCAACAATATAATGCCACATGTCATACTGATAAGATTTGCAAGCAATCATTTAAAGAAAATAACATTAAAATTATGGCTTGGCCTGCCATAGTCCAGATCTCAACTAAATAGAGAATTTGTGGTCTTGGTTAGACCCCAATCTTGGTAAAATTAAAATAAAAGATCTGGACCAGCTGAAAGATAAAGTAACAAAATTACTGTATAATATTTCAAAAGATATTACTCAGAATCTAGTGAATTCCATGCCAAAATGGATCAATAAATGTTTAAAATTTAAAGGATTGTCAACAAAATATTATTTTTTTTTTATTTCTTTTTTTATGTTTTGTAAACATTTTTTTATTTTTGTTTTGTTAATTTTGTTGTTGTGGTTTGTTTATTTTGGCCACATTTTTTTTTTTTGATATATATAAACACTTCAATTCAATACTTTAATTTTTTATTTTTTATTATTATTATTTTATGATAAATTTATCAATCAAACAATTAATCATATTTATTGACAGGCTCAAGGCCCAATATAATAAATATGTAATGGGTAAAATAAAAAGGGTATAAAAAATAACGCACTTGGATATAAACAAAACCCAGGGAAAAATAAAAAATAAATAAAGTGTTATAAATATAACTCAGCTCTCCATTTAATCAACAAAGGAGACTGCAAGAACCTGTCGGAGTTAACAAAAGCTTTTATGACAAGGTTTTCACTATTCTGCAGCAGTAACAATGAAGAGTATTGTTGCTTACGAATAACAACATTAAGTGAATGGGCACCATGTTTCACAAATAATTCACGAGCACTGTTCCATGATGATTTGTTCAATCTTAAGCAAAGTGCATTATTATATGTAACACATAAACGATGAAATAAGTCTTTTGTCTAAAGATACCATAACTGACATTCATAGATTGGGCTGCAAAAGGCATTAAATAAGAGGATCTTTATTTGTATTTGTATAGAGCTGAACTTTCTAAGGATGAGGTTCGCTTTAACATACATAGAACGTATGTGTTTTAAGATATCTTTGTCATCCTGCATATCGTTTGAGATCAAATGACTCAGGTATTTATATTGACAAGTGTATATGAGAATCATGTCAGATAAGGTGAAATGAGGGCTATTTACAAGGGGTTCTTATTTATATTGACAAGTGTATGTGAGAACCATGTTAGATAAGGTGAAACGAGGGCTATTTACAAGGGGTTCATAAATTTCAAAAAACATTATTTGAGACTTAATACTGTTATAAACTATATCATGTTTCACAGCATAACTAGAGCATAAGTCTAGTCATATCTAGAGACCTTTGGCTGAGGGGGCACACAAGACAATATCATCAGCATAAAGAAGATGGTTAATGAGAGAAGGACCCAACGGTAATTTTATTAAGTAGAACACTAAGATCATTAGTAACTATTAAATAGAAGAGGAGACAGTACACCTCCTTGACGCACTCCATTACTGATATTAAATGTTTTGGATAATATTCCACTCCATAGGATCTGAGCTGTTTGACCAGCTTACCAGACAATGAGTAAGCGTAAAGTTACACCAGAGATTTTTAGATTTTCATAAATAGTGTGTCAAATTGAACTCTATCAAAGGCCTTACTAATGTCAATAATAGCAACATGTATATTTGAGCCATGTGACAGGTAAAAATTTAAAATATCTTTTAAAATAAGAACTGGCATAAAAGTGCTATGGTTTTTCTTGAATCCAAATTGATTGGGAGTCCCAGTGAAACTTTCATTAACACGTGAGACAAAAATATGTTCCAAAATTCTGGAGAAAATTGTAACCAAAGCAATTGGACAATAATTAGCAGAATCAGAGATGTCACCATTTTTATCTTTACCCACAGGATAAATAATAAAGTGTGAAGCATCGATAGGCATGTGTCCATGGCAAAGCATGGAGGAAAAGCACAATGATAAAATATTAAAGTAATTTGTGCTAACATAGATATAATGCTCCAACTAAAGTCCAAAGTCAGCAGCTTTTCCACAGGTCATATGATTTATGGTAGATTGGACTTCATGGGGAGTGACAACATAGGCATCATCCTTAAGCAGATTACAGTGTTTAACTATAAAGGTGTCATTTATATTGCATGTTAGCTTGACTGAGTTAAACAGGGTGCAATAGTTATTATACCACATGTGTCATACATTATCAGGACCTGATGCAGAGTCAATAGAAGGTGGAAGACTACATTTATTGTTGCGAATACATGTCACAGTAGACTAGAAACTAGTATAGTTTTTATTTGCTAAGCTGTTTGCCAGCTTTTCTGCTTTTATAGTATCTTCTTTTTTTTGC